GGGTGCGACGGAGAAAGCCTCCAGCGGCCCGGCCTGCCACGCGGCCTGCCGTGCCGATTCGCCGACGGAACACGTTGTTGCACGTGTTCGCACATGCACGCTGCAACAAGGAACGAGGCACGCCGCCGGTCGCGGCGGCGCGAAAGAAAAAGACAACAAATGACAGTCGCCGCGGCACCGAAGTGTGCCATTAACGGCGCGACGGGGGCATTGTGCCGCCTCTCTCTCTCTCTCTCTCTCTCTCTCTCTCTCTCTCTCTCTCTCTCTCTCTCTCTCTCTCTCTCTCCGAGGCGGCGACGTCTTTCTTTTCCGCGCCAGCATAATGAGCAGGCAAGGGGTGTTCTTGTGGGCGGCGGGAGCCAGGCCCTCGGCACGCGCAGCGCCCGGCGAGCCAGTCTGAGATCCGGTGACTGATTGGGCCGTCGAGGCACTTCGAGGCCGGCCGGCACACTGCCTGGCACGCCGGCCACGGCCATAGGCAGCCACAGGCGGCGCCGTCTCGGCCATGGTGCACGACACGGTGACGCTAAAGACATGATGGCGGGCTTCGTGGCGGCGGCGGCGGCGTCGTCGCAGGATGGCAGGGCGGCCGCGCCGACTTTTTCCACCGCGGAATCTTCCAGCCGAGCGATTCAGAAGAGTCGTTTGGTCGCCCTGTCTCTGTCGCGCACACGGGGCGCCCCGCCAGGATGCGAGGCGAGAGAGGCAGGCCGACACACCGATCCGCATCTGAATCGCTCGGCAGCGGTGGGCCGAAGTGCGCGACTCCCTGGGCCCTGGCCTGTGTCCGCCTCTGGCCTGGCCCTGGTGGTTGAATCTCCGAAAGCAGCCGTTTTTGCTGAATTTGGACGGCTACTGCGTCCGATCTAGTTGCGGCCAACGGCGTCCCTCGACGCCTTAGTATTCTTAAGACCCTACTCTTTCATGCCCTGTTTCGGGAAGACGTTGACCACAACGATTTTGGCTTTGACCGCAACGATTTTCCGACCAAGTTGGTCAAAAAGTGGTCGAATCTCGGAAATTTGCTGATTTTGCTGACTTTGGGTGGCCACTGTGTCCAATCTAATTGCCGTAAAAGGCCTCACTCGACGCCTTAGTATTCTTAAGACCCTACTCTTTCATGCCCTGTATCGGGAGGACGTTGACCACAACGATTTTGGCTTTGACCGCAACGATTTTCCGACCAAGTTGGTCAAAAAGTGGTCGAATCTCGGAAATTTGCTGATTTTGCTGACTTTGGGTGGCCACTGTGTCCAATCTAATTGCCGTAAAAGGCCTCCCTCGACGCCTTAGTATTCTTAAGACCCTACTCTTTCATGCCCTGTATCGGGAGGACGTTGACCACAACGATTTTGGCTTTGACCGCAACGATTTTCCGACCAAGTTGGTCAAAAAGTGGTCGAATCTCGGAAATTTGCTGATTTTGCTGACTTTGGGTGGCCACTGTGTCCAATCTAATTGTCGTAAAAGGCCTCCCTCGACGCCCTAGTATTCTTAAGACCCTACTCTTTCATGCCCTGTATCGGGAGGACGTTGACCACAACGATTTTGGCTTTGACCGCAACGATTTTCCGACCAAGTTGGTCAAAAAGTGGTCGAATCTCGGAAATTTGCTGATTTGCTGACTTTGGGCGGCCTGTGCGGGCGGTGGGGGTGGGATCACGCGGCTGGCCGGGCAGGTTGCAGGGTGCGAGCGAGTTGTGCTGCCTGCCTCCACGGCGCGTCGAGGCACAGTGGAGGCACCGGAGCAGCGGAGGCCGGCCGCGCGAGTCGGCTGGGCTGCCTACTGCCAGCCTCGCGGGCGCAGCAGCGGCGGCAGGCTTCCTCCAGTGTGTGAAGCGGGGACCAGGAACAAGTAACACAACACGCCGCGAAGTCATGGAGGCACTTTCCTCTATATTTCATTGGTTGCTTGCACAGGACGGGGGCCTCGGGGCGCAGAGGGCCCGGCGCGCCGTCGTCCTCCTCGCCACGTGTTTGGCGGAGCAGCGCGCGAGGCCCTCTGGCAACGCGGTCCGCGGTCCGTCCGGGTGGAAAAGGGAAACAATCCACGTCGCGCATCGCGAGAAAGACAAAAACAAAAACGAGAAACGGAAGAGAAGAAGAAAGGGAAAGAAAGAGAAGCTGGTCGGCCGATTGCGTCGCCAGCTCTGCTACAGTGATTCCGTCGTATCTTGTCACAGCGAGCAAAAATGATAAAGTACTACAAACTATCACAATAATTACAGTAATGATTATTTAAACATTGAATCTGAATGGCTAATAATAAACGATCGAGAAATAATTTTTCTTTCCAAATGTGCGGGCAGAACTACGGTTGAAAAACAGTAACGGCTAAAAACTACAAACACAAAAGCAATTATATCTTTCCACAATTACAAAAATAAATAGTGATAAAGTACTAATAAATAAATTAAATACTGATAAAATTGAAATCTAGCTGTAGAACACAAAAAAATCGTCAACAGTTTCACGGCTTCGTCTCGTCACAACAAGTCTCCCATCCACCGTCGTATTAAAAGACGGTATACACACATCCAGTCGAACTCAGCAAACCGAAAACAAATCAAACGGAAAGTTACATAATTATTGTTTTTATTTTAGAGTGAAAATGATGACGCTAATTACAAGCTTTGTGAGTGGACCCAGAGATGGGGGGTCACACACAGCACAACAGTTGTAGTAAGACTAATAAATAACTAAGTACTGGAAAAGTTTTAAAGGGTTTCCGGGAGGTGGCGGGGAGGGTAGCAGCGTGTCTCGGTGCCGTTCTCTCCAGCCGACGACACCAGAGATACCCCCACCGGCAGCTCACTATGCCTCGAGGGGGTGCCTGGCCTGCCTATCTTAAAAAATAAACTGTCTGACAATGATTTATGAAAACTAGCTGAGTAACGGTTGCAACAACTACGCCTTTTTTCAACTTTCTCTCTTTTTTTTGACATTTTCTCGATAAAATTTTTTTGCGGTGTAACTAAGCAGCGAGGGGCTTCTGGTGACCCGGACCCACAGGACCCCAATCAGCCCCAGCTTTCGGTGCGGCCGCCGCAGGGCGTCGCTACCCCGCGCGGCGGACTTCCCTCCCGGGCCGCGCGGGAGCGCGGCACTCTGCTCGGCGATACTCCGCGTCTCAGAGAGCGCGGGGGACGGCCGCGCGGCGTGGAGTATCGGCAGCTAGTGCGTCGCGGCAGAACGGATGCGAGGAACAGAAAGAGTTGCGACCGGAAGCGAAGGCGAGGGTCGGCCGAGGCACACCCCACGGAGACAACAGGGGACAGGGAAGGGGGACGGGACTACGAAGCGCTTCAGGGCTGCTCCTGCTCCTGGAGGTGGTGCAGGCGCGCGGCCAGCCCCATGCCGTACAGCGGCCTCTCCAGGTCGTCCAGCTCGGGCATGGCCACCGGGTTGCGCTTCACGAAGCTGTCGAAGCCCGCGCGGTCGATCTCGTCGAAGTTCTTCTTGGTGAAGCTGTTGAAGGAGGTGCGGTCGATCTCGTCGAAGTTGCGCTTGTTGGTGCCAAAAGTGCCTCCACTGCGAACACAAATGCAAAACGTTACCTTGGCCAAGGCCTTCAAGTGAGAGGAGCAGGAGCGCGTCCAACGACCAAAACGGGAAGACTTCTGCACTGTAGGCCAGAAGACCGGTGGCGGCGGTCAAATTGGGCCGATGTCTAATGGGGTAATATTCGGGTTTATCAAGTATGACACGAATGTGATAATGTTGAAAAGAGGTCCCAAAGAGGGTTGACGCAGGATGCCATAAGCACCCAGAGCGCCTGCAAGGTTGCGCGTAGGCTGTACTGCTACACACGCGTGCCTTGCGGACTGGCCTAACTCACAGGCGCTCCGAGCGCACAGGAGGCGGCAGTAGCCCTCCTCAGAGGTCTCCCCATTTTAGTCGGAGAAAAGTTGTTGTTCATTCTGGTTCTCACTTGAGGGAGTTGAAGCGCTTCTTGGCGCCGCCGAAGGTGACGCCGGACAGAGAGTCCAGGCCGCGGCGCTGCCGGCAGGGCAGCTGGGCCTGCTGCTGCGCGAGGTGCTGCAGCTGCTCCAGGCCCCAGGTGTCCCTCAGCAGATGGCCTCCACCTGCAACAGCGCGGCAGCGCAGCCAGACGGCGGTCAGGCCCGGCGATGGTGGCGCACCAGATGGCCCCTCCGCCGCCCCCTGGTTCCCCTCAGCTTTTTACAAAGCGCTTCAAATACCACTGCTGGAGCGTAGACGTAGTAATGCGTATATAGTACAGAATACAGTAACACCAACGGTCCGCAACGCTCTTTGGAGAACAACTTGGCCTGCGCGTCCACCCGTTTCTTGCATTGCACCCTCACTTTCCAACTTTGCATTCTGACATTCTGATTCTACAAAGAAATTGAAGCCGCACCGTCAACAAGCTTTGCTTACTGTTTAAATATGCGGCCGTTGTATACGCTTTCATCGTCACCATTTTGTAAGTACTCGTCTTCAGAAACTTTACCGCAAACAAGGCAGCCAACGGCATAATGTTTTTTTACAAGCAGCCATCACCAATACAGTAGAAAAGGAGAGAAAAATGGAGAGGGCACACGAAAAGACAAAGTGGCGATGTATAAATTTTACCTCCTTGCGGATAATCTTGCTGCTCAAAGAAGTACTCAACGCCGTCTTCCGGACCTGTATAACACATTGTATAGCCAGGTGAGTGGGGATTGATTGGTGGGCGAGGGCGAGGCTGTTGACAGTGTTGACACACCGTCGGGCCGCCTCCGTTTTTCAAGCCTCTTTGTGACGTCTAGACTGCCGCCGCGGGGGCTGTGCCTGGCTGTGCCGGGCTGTGCCGCGCCGTGGTCGCTCTTTAGTTGCGCCTTATTGGGCTGACCCCGTGACCCCCCGTGGCTCCCGAATTGTTGGTGCCTGGGCCGAGGCTAGAGACGCATCTGACGTCATGCGGAGAATTCGGTGACGTGGAAAGAAACGAGGGTCGTTGCCGTCGAGAAAAGAAGAAGAAAAAAAAAGCAGAAAAGTCGAAGCGTTTTGGTCGAAGCCTTTATTCGAGATGCCAATACATAATAACATGTACGTGACTGACAAAGACAATGCAGTGGTGACAGAGATGAAACAAAATAAGTGATGAGTGTGCTGATGATGATGGATGAAAATTTGGTTTAACAACAAATGGGGGGTTCTGTTTGTCCGATGCGTGTTGTCGATCTGAGACCGCCATGAGAGAGATCAGAGGCGATGGGGAACTACGCTGCACTACGCAGTGCCGTCGCAGTCGGGAGCCTGCTGGCCCCGCGTCATCCGCTGCCCCTTGACCCCCTCGCTGCCGTACGACGAGCCGAACGACGAGCCGGGCGTGCCCGAGGAGTAGGTGGAGTGCGAGGACCAGGACGCGCTGTGCGAGGACACCGGCGCGCTGGACGCGTACTGGCGGCTGTAGGCCCTGGAGCCGCTGTCGTGTCCGGAAACGGAAGACCCGAAGCCGCTACCAGTGGCACCGTAGCCGCTACCAGTGGCGCCGTAGCCGCTGCCTGACGCGCCGTGCGAACTCGACGACTGGTACCGGCTGCTGCTGCTGTACCCGCTGGCCGAGTTGTACCCAGAGCTACCCGACGAGTACCCCGCACCACCCGCGCCGTAGCCGCTGTCGCTGGTTTGTGAGACCTGCTGCTGCGTGGAGCCGCTGCTTCCGGCCGGCAGGATGCCGATGTCCATCAAGGAGACGGTGAGCTTGCCCCCGCGGGGGGCGTCCGGGGACGCGGCGGGGGCAGGGGGGCCGCCGTAGCCGCCGTTACCGGTGCCGTAGCCCAGCTTGATGCTGGGGGTGGCGGGGGTGGCGGGGCCGAGCGGGGGGAACTCGTCGTCGCGCGTCTCCTGCACGTCGGCCCACTCCGTCCTGCTGCCGTACGCCGAGCCGGTCCCGGACACCGTGCCGGACGACGAGGTGCCGCGCACGGGGACCACGACGGTGCCGGTGGGGGCCGCGGGGTTGACGCCGCTCACTCCGGAGCCGGCCACCCTCTGGTAGGACGACGAGGACGACGAGAAGTAGCTGCCGGAGGCCTCCGGGATGCGTCCGCCGCTCTGCTCCGCCGCGATGAAGGCCGCGTTGCCGCCCACGTCGGTCTGCGCGCGCTGCACGTCGCCGGGGACGCCGCGGATGAGGTGGCCGCCGCCGAGGCGGTCCACGTCACGCTCCTCGTTGAGGCCGCTGCTGCCGCTGGTGCTGCCGGAGCTGCTGTACGTGACGACCTTCTTGTACGTCGACGACGACGACGTCCTCGACGAGCCGTCCGACGACACTGCGGCGCCGTCGGCGACGCCCGCCTGCTGCCCGGCCGCGCCACTAGCGTAGCCACCGCTGCCGCCGCTCTGGAACGTGGAGTAGTACTTGCTGGTGCCCCCGTAGGTGGGCACGCCGGCGTCCACGGGGACGTCTTCCTTGCGGTAGCCGGGCATCTGCGACACGCTCATGGTCTCCTGCGTGGGCTGGCCGTAGGTGTCGGTCTCGCGGAGCAGGTGGCCGCCGCCCAGGGCGTCCACGCGGCGCGTGCCCTTGAACTCCGAGCCCGAGGAGGCGGCGCCGTACGAGCTCGCTCCGTACCTGGACGAGCTGGAGCCGTACTGGGAGGACTGTGTGCCGGCGCCGTACTGAGAAGACTGAGAGCTGGCGCCATCCGTGTCGCGGATGAGGTGGCCGCCGCCGAGGGCGTCCACGCGGCGCGTCTCCTTGAGCGTGGAGCTGCCCGACGAGTAGGTCGCGGAGCCGTAGCCGCCAGCGCTGCCGCTGTCGCGGATGAGGTGGCCGCCGCCCAGCGCGTCCACGCGGCGCGTGCCCTTCAGGCCGCCGTCCACGAGGTGGTCGCCGCTGCCGCTGCTGCCCTCCGAGCTGTACGACGAGACGGAAGTCACGTTCCTGGAGTGCGTGTTGGTCAGCAGGTTGCCGCCGCCGAGGTGGTCCACGTGTTGCGGCGCGCGGCCGCCCGACGACCACGAGCTGTGCGTCGTCCTGGACACGCTGCGCGAACCACCGCCGGTGCTCTGGCCGAGGTCAAGCTGGCCGGCGCCGAGCCCGAGCCTCGCCGCGTCCTCTCCGAGCGTTTCCAAGGCGGACGCGTCGAAGCCGTCGCGCACGTAGGTGTTCTTCTTGACGACGGGGGGGCCGCCGTTGACCGAGGACGACTCGACGACGGTGGTCACGGTCTTGCCGGCCTGGGTCTTCCCCGAGCGGAGGTCCTCGCGCAGGCCCTTGAGCAGGTCCTCCACCTCGGAGTGGCCGATGGTGAAGGGGCGGCCGAGGCCCAGGTCGGGGGCGCCGGGCACGGGGAGGGCCGCCACGTCCACGACGCCGTCCTTGACGAACGTTTCCTGGCGCGTGACGGGGGGGCTGCCGTTCTCCGACGTGGTGGTGGTGACGGTGGTGACGGTCTTGCCGTTCTGGAAGCGGCCGGCGCGCATGTCGCTGTCGAGGCGGCTGATGATGTCCTCGATGTTGCTGGTGCCGTAGCCCAGGTCCGACAGCTGCCACGACGACTTGGTGACGCGGGTGTCCTTCCGGGAGGACCCCGAGATGCCGTCCGTGCCCGCGGCGTCGACGCCGGTGAACTCCGGGCGCGACGCAGCGCCGCCGTAGCCGGCTGACTCAACGACGCGCGAGGACTGGACCACCCTGCTGCTGCTGGCGCCGCTGCCGCCCAGGGCCGCGTCGGAGCGGACGCCGCCGTAGGCACCCTGGCCGGCGACGTAGGCACCCTGGCCGGCCTGGCCACCCTGGGCCCTGCTGCTGTAGTACCGCTGGCTGGACTGGCTGGACTGCACCTGCTGCACGCCCTGCACGCCGGCCCCGGACTGCTCGCCCGCGTACTCCGCCGCGCTGGCGCCGCCTCCAACCTTCCTGATCCTCATCCTGCAGTTGTGGCAGTTGGTGGCCACGCCGAGCACGCCGTCGCCGCCCTCCAGGGCTTCGCCGGTGATGGTGGCGCGGATGGGCGCGCCGCTGGAGCCGGCCTCGCCGCCGCTGCCGCTCGAGTACTCCGAGTACCTGACGGACCACCGGCCGCTGCCCGTGCCGCCCGCCGACTTGACCTGCTCCTGCATCTGGCGCATGGCCTCCTCCAGCTGGCTGCTGGAGCCCGCCGCCTGCTGCACGCCTGCGGAAGGAACACGGCGGTTAGACGGCTGGGATCGCTATGTCCTCACTCCGCACAGCGGGCCGGGAGACCGGCGGAGGCGGCAAAAACTCTAAGACGCGTTTTGGGTTCCAGAGTCACAGAACAGGACTTGAACCGAACGTGTGACCCCACCAATGGATTCCTCGTGGAGGAGCAATCCATTGGCCATTAATGGTGGGGCACAGGTTCGGTTTGAGTCCCATTTAGCAACTCTGGCGCTCAAACCGCGTCTAGAATTTTGGCCGCCTTCAGCCACCTGTCTTCCGGCCCACTGTGGACCCACCTCGTCTATTATTCTCTCATTATACAGAGTAAAACTAGGTAATGAACAAGCAAGTGAAGTGGTGGGGATCAAGAAAAGCCTCCCTCTCTTCCCCTTCCTACATGCAGGGGAATGCCCGGGACCCCCATGCCTACATGCGCGCCCGTCAGCAACCCTTTGCTTTGTGGCCAGTGAGGAGCGCGGGGACCGCCTCCCTCTCAGCCGGCCCCGCTAAAACGGGTCTCTGCGGCCGGCCCCCCCCCCCCGCCCCCGCCCCCCGCAGTACGCCCTCCAGACCCTGAGCGCCCTCAGGACGGGCGTGGCGTCCCTCCCGCTGCCATGACGCTGGCGACGCTGGCCAGTCTCTTTCGGCTTCCCTTTGTAATTACGGTTGACTGCGCCACGTCGCCACTCCATAGCCCCCCCCCCCCCCCCCCCCGGCCGCAGCACCCCGATGGCGCTGGGATTGCGGCCCGGCCCGGCCAAGTCGCCGGCAAAGCCGCACCCCTGGAGTCCCCGAGGAGAGCGGGAGGGGAAGGGGAAGCCGATCATGTCAGAAAAATTGGCCACGTGTTGCGCGCGAGGTGGCTGCGCCGGGCGGGCCGGGCCAGCCCATCGAGCGCGACGTCTTCACCGCGTTTCGCGAGTCCGCGCACGCCGCCACACTGTAGGTACCGCCTCCCCGGGAAACTCGATCCGCGCGCCGGCCGCGAGAATGGCGCCGGAACGGCGTCGGGAAAGTTCCATCTTGCGGCGCGGAGCGAGCGGAGCCCCCTCTGATGGGCATTACGATACAAAGTAGAGGATCGCCCCTGGCGGGGCCTCCTCCGGCGTGCCTCCGGGACCCTCGGACACTTAACGGGTAACGAGCCACCGTGCATTCCGCGGTCCGACAGCCTGGCCGGCCGGGAACAGCCCTGAGCAGCGGGCAGCGCTGCTGCAGCGTCCTTGAGACATTTCATCGCCCCCGTGCCGGCCGTGCCCCTCGAGGCCGAGACCGAGACGCTCTCGACTGACCTTCCCCCGCACCCTTTCCTCGGCACCCACCTAATAGTGGCCCGCCGTGGCGTGACGCGGTGGTCCGCGCCGTGCCCAGCGAGTGTTGACTCTGCGCCGCCCCCGCCCCGCCGCCCCCATTGGGGCCCAGGGCTTGTTCCCGCCTGGCTGGCCTCGCGTTTTATTCCAGCCTTCGCGGCCGCGCTGTGACCCGCGACGCGCGGCCCGCGACCGACGGCGTGCTGCCCTGAACCGCCACGGCGCCACGCGGCGCGCCATGCTGCCTCCCTCCGCCAGCAGACTGGTTCCGAGAGTCGGTTTTCGTCGCTCCGTCTCTCTCGCGCTCATTGGGCGTCCCGTGAAGGTGCGAGAGAGACAGGCGACGAAAACCGACCCTCGGAATCAGTCTGCAGGCCGTGCCGGGCCACCTTGTCCCTCGCTGCTGTTGGTTTTCCCGGCCGAACAATTCAATTAGAGGCGATCGAAGTGGACCTCCTCCTCCCGAACCCCCCCCCCCCCCCGCGGGGCCTCGCCGAGAGGCTAGACGTCACACTAATTCGTTATGAGAAATTCGGGGCAGACAGAAGCAGAGGAATGCGAAATAATGAGAGGTGGCTTACCTTTGGGATGAACGGACGCAGCACGGCGAAGCAGGCGGTGGGTTAGTTTTGTTAGTGGCGGCAAGCTGGTGGCGTTGATGGTGGAGGCCTGGAGGCCATGTTAGGGGCCTCGTGCATGCGCATTCGGCCTCGACTCACGTCACACTTCACCACAGTGGGCCAGAAGACCGGTGGAGGCGGTCAGAATCCCGGACGCGTTTTGAGCTCCGCGGTGCACCCAACGAAGGTACTGCGTTGCAAAAACCAAAGCGGTCCTCGCGTGCGGGCTCGGCTTTCACCCGCCCGAGGCAATTACTCCCACTAGAAAAAAGCGAGGTAGTGCCTTGGGAACGCGCTTTGGAGAGCTAAAGTGCTCGTCTTTGCGCTGCGGGGATCAAAGGAGCATCGCAGGGAGAGGCTAGGCTCACTTATAGAGAACTCAGGCAAATTAAGGAAGATGCGCCCCGCTCGGCCCCTCGGCCCCGGTGCTCCGGGGCCACGAGAGCGCGCCGCGGAGGCTGGCTGAAGATCGCCAGGTGAGGGGCCAGTTTACTCGCAGCACCACTTTTAAGTTGAAAAACATATTTCAATGAATTTTGATAAGCTTTTTTTTATCGTGTTAATGTTTAAAAAGTGGAGAAATGGATAACTTTAGTTATGAGTGGGTAAATTGAGCAATGCACACAGCTCGCATACGACCAACACTTTTCAGGGAGGTTGGAAAATAAGCTCACGATTTGCTCCAGTCCTCTCCGGCGCCCCTCACGGCATCATTGTTCGACGGCAAGAAGGCACCTTTGCATCAACGCCCCCTACGGAGCCGGAGCCCGTGAGCCATGCATGTTTTAAAGCGTCCGCTTTTCACATCAGCGAACGGGAAACTCTGGTGCGGGCCAAGCCGGGCCGGGGCGCGCGCTTTCACGCTCTTTCGCGCGCCTTTGATGCCTTTGATTTGGATGAATGGAAGGGAACGGGACGGAACGGAACACGCGGTACTACCCGTCGAGCGAGCCACTCCTCCGCGAGGGCTCTGGGGGCACACATGCGCCTCGGCCCGGCCCCGCCCCCGCCCCGCCCCCACCCGCCAGGCCCCATTCGCCCTCCAGTTTCTTTTCCGGCGCCAGACGGGATGGCCCTAGTATGACAAATTCGGCCTTTACGGCCGCCTGGCAGGCCTGGCGGGGTTGGCGGGACTGGCAGCAGCGGGGACGGCGCGTTTACAGCGCGGTGGCCATGTGTGTGCGTCGGCGGCGGTCAGGCCGCCGTCGTCGCGCAGTGGACCAGAAGACCGGTGCCGGCCGAAATCCCGAACCGCTTTGGGCGCGAGAGTCGCTAAACAGCACTCAAAACGAACCTGTGACCCGAACAATGGATTGCTCTCCGAACGAGGAATCCATTGGTGGGGTCACACGCTCGGTTTGAGTCCTGTTTAGCGACTCTGGAGCTCAAAACGCGTTTGGAGTTTGGGCCGCCCCACCGGTCTTCTGGCCCACTGTGCGTCGGTGCGGCGATTGGCCGTCGGGCCGCGCCAATCTGGCGGCGCTTTGTGCTGCCGGGGACGGCGCCACAGGGCCGCGAGGGTCGCGGTGGCAAAGTCCGAGCGCGCGCCGCGACCGCCGGAACGCCTGGCGCGCCAAAGCGCTTAAAAGAGCGATTCGTTGCGGTGCCACGGTCGGCCTGCCGCTACCACCGCCACACAGTGGGCCGGAAGACCGGTGGGGGCGGCCAGAATTCAAGACGCGTTTCGAGCTCCAGAGTCGCTATACGGGACTCAAACCGAGCGTGTGACCCCACCAATGGGTTCCTCGTTCGGAGAGCAATCCATTGGTGGGGTCACACGTTCGATTTGTCTCCCATTCAGCGACTCTGGAGCTCAAAACGCGTCCGGGGTTTGAGCCGCCTCCACCGGTCTTCCGGCCCACTGTGCGCCGCGACGCAATCAACGCGCCGTCGCCGTGCAGCACGCTGCCCGCTAAATCCGGCGCCCCGACGCGACCTTGCCGCGCTGCCCTGCTATATTTGCTCGCCGATGCAAAGAGAGCGCGAACGGCGAATGGAGTGAGATAACCGTCGATATTGCCGCGGACGTCCTGATGGTCCTGATGCACACGGGGCAATAAAGTATTGTGCGTGTGTGTGTCGGACAAATAGCGCCCGCATGATAACGGGATACCGAACGGCACGGTGCACTAGTAAGGCAGCCAGCCAGCCAGCGAGCCAGCCAGCGAGGCAGGCAGCCAGGCGGCAGCCAGCCAGCCCCCCAGCCAGGCAGGCAACTCGGTCGGCGCGGCCCCCGTGCATGACACACGCGTCGCAGCTGCAGGGCCTGTCCCACTCGCTGCTCCTCCCCCCGCTGGTAAGCAGGCCAGGCGACCAAGGCCAGGGTCGAGGGTTCGAAACCGGCCGGGGGTCCATTTATTTTAAGCGCGCGCCCACGTCCACGCGAGGCGACCGTGCTTCGAAAGCAGCCCAGCGACAATTAGTCTTCCATTAGGATGACGGAGTCCAGCGCCACGTCCGCGACACTGTGGACGGACAGTGTGCTGCCGGAGTCCAGCTGGAGGCTCCATGGAGGCCGGCTGGAGGGAAGGCCTGAGTGGCCCGCCGCGGGGGGCGCGCCGCGCGGAGTGCCGGTGGGCGGCCGGACGCAGCAGACGGATTCCGAGAGTCGGTTTCGTCGCGCTGTCCCTCTCGCGCCTTTACGGCAGGTTATGAGAGTGCGAGAGAGACGGAGCGACGAAAACGACTCTCGGAACCAGTCTGCAGGCGGAGCGGACGCACGGACACACAAGGTGCGCGGCGGCAAACCTTCCACCCCGGTCCTGGAGTCAGGGGGTGGTAATGGGATTGCGAAGACCGCCACAAGGCTGGACACACTGCACACGGCGGGGACTCATTCCGAGAGTCCTTTTCGTCGCTCTGTCTCCCTCGCACTCATGGGGCGTGAGGGACACTGCGGAATCTATCCGCTGCCCCCGGCCGAGTTCACAGCGGGTCAGAGCCGAGAATTATTTACGTGACTCGCGCTGAGTTTAGGAGGCCCCCCCCCTCCCCCTGCCCGGCCGCTGTGATTGAACGCGCGTCTCGCAGCCGCGTTGCTTTGGTCCGGGATCGACCGGCCGGAGGAAGGTGCACTGGAAGCCGCCGGATGCTCCGATGAATAGGCATGCTCATGTTAGTATGGATTAGTTGGTTGGTGAGCGAGTGTGACGACACCCAGTGCCGTCGCGCGCCGTACTCACCTAGGCCGTCGATGTGCCTCACGTTCTTCTCGGGCGCCTGGACGTCCCCCTCGTCATGGTAGCCCTGCAACAGGAGGACAGGCGTCGTGAGCCACCGTCCACCACGGCTCAAGTGGGCCAGAGGACCGGTGGAGGCGGTCAAAACCCCGGACGCGTTTTGAGCTCCAGAGTCGCTATGGTCCTAGAACCGAACGAATGACCCAACCAATGGATTGCTCCTCGAACGGGGAATCCATTGGTGGGGTCACACGTTCGGTTCGAGTCCTGTTCGGCGACTCTGGGGCTCAAAACGCGTCTGGAATTTTGGCCGCCTCCACCGGTCTTCTGGCCCACTGCGAGGCGGCGAGCGCGGGGAAATTAAAACAAAACACCGCGGCAGGGGCCAGGGCCGCCCCTCTAGGAATCCCAGGCACTGCTTTCGCCTCGCGGTGAGGGTGCGCGGTGCGCGCGGCGCCGCGGCGGTCGGGTCGGGCTGGTCGGAGCGCCCGACGACGGCCGGGTAGGCCGCCGGGTAGCCGCCGCGTGCAGCGGGTGGTCTACCCGACTCTCGGCGGGCGCTCCAGGCGGTGCGGCGGTGCTGCGGCCGATTCCGAGAGTCGTCTTCGTCGCTCTGTCTCTCTCGCACCTTTACGCCACTCTCAACGAGTGCGAGAGAGACGGAGCGACGTATCCTTCGGTCGGAGGCAGTCTGCTCGCTGGCGGGACGGCGACTCCAGCCATTGTCGCGCGCCGCACTGCGGTCTCCTTATTGCCGGATGTGGAAGCGGGGGGGGGGGGGGTAGTTAGGTAGGTCCGCCAACAAAGGGCAATCGGAGGGATGTCGCTTTGCCGCTGCAGCGGCCTGGATGTGCCTGAATGCGTGATGGCGATGGGGCAGACTGTTGCCGCTGCCCCGCTGCCCCGGCGAGGTCGGCACTCCTCCATTCCACTCCACCGTTATTATTTGATATTGTTGTGGTAATTAGCGAGGCCGGCGGCGCGGCACGGTGACGTGGAGCCGCGGGCCGCAGCAGTGCGCCGCCGAATTTGGGCCGTCGAATCGCGCCACGGCCGTGACAGTGACAGCCGCTGTCGGCTGCCTCCCAAAAGAGCTCTCTCTCTCTCTCTCTCTCTCTCTCTCTCGCACTCGCTGAGGGACGCAGCCGGGCGCGGCGCCGCGGTATTGTGTCGCTCGTAATTCGGCTTGTCCGCTTTCATCTCTGGATGGGCGAAGGCAATAAGGCTTTGATTAGCGCGTCATGCATATACAGTGTAGTCGCCGAGGCACTCCCAGTCATCAATGGTCATCCATTATTTATCGTCATTTCGAGTCGGCCGCCTGCTCTTTCATCGGGACGCACTGAGTGAGCACGGTGGGCCGGGAGACCGGTGCAGGCGGACGAAATTCTAGACGCGTTTTGAGCTCCAGAGTCGCTAAACAGGACTCGAACCGAACGTGTGACCCCACCAATGGATTCCTCGTTCGGAGAGCGATCCATTGGTGGGGTCACACGTTCGGTTCGAGTCCCATTCAGCGACTCTGGAGCTCAAAACGCGTCTAGAGTTGGACCGCCTCCACCGGTCTTCTGGCCCACTGTGCGACGGCAGCCTCCCCCGCCCCTCCCCCGGCCGTGCCGGGTGTCGCGTTATCGCGTCCACTCCCCAGGTGTCGATTCTGTTTGCGCGGCGCCGTGCCTCCAGGACGCGGCCAGCCACCCGGATTTGCTTACACCCACTCACGGCAGCGAGACCCGAAATACAACCGCCGCGGCAGACTGAGAGTCGTTTTCGTCGCTCCGTCTCTGTCACACTCACGGGGCGCTCCGTACAGGTGCGAGAGAGACAGAGCGACGAAAACGACTCTCGGAATCAGTCTGCTGGCTCCAGTGTCCGGCTGGCGCGGGCTGGCGCCGCTCCACTGCGCGGTGTTTACTGCCGCTGATTGGTGGCGCCCGTTTTATCTGGCCCACCACATGAGCGGCCACGGCAGCCACCGCGCCGACGGACGATTTCGCAGTTTAACTGTCAGTGTCGTGTCCTCTGCCGATAAAATTTTGGCGCCGCCGGTCCGGACGGTCCGCTGTGTCGTTTTTGTCGTTTGACCTCTTCTGCCCCGCGGCGCGGCTCTCCGCAGGCTTCGTTGTTTTTATGCCGACGGTAAAATTAAATTTATGACACACCGGTCGATCTCGCTTCGCCTCAGGTGCGTGGACAGGTAAAGTGGGCTTCGGTGTCCGGGCTGCCGGCCAGTGAGCCCGCGCGGTGTGTGTGACAGTGTGACATCGAGTCATGGCGTCGTGTGCGGTTGAAGGGGGTTTTCCCCGTGGGCCGCGCCATGGGCTGTGCCACGCCACCCTCTAATGCGATGACTCGACTCGGCCGATCCGTCCCACTGCCGAGCGAGTGACTCTGCCCGCTTTGCGTCGCTTTGCTCTGTTTCTGCTTTGCAATCCGTCACGGTCCTGTTGTGTCCCCCCCTCTCTCTCATCATTCTCGCGTCGCGCGAGACCACTCCATTTGGCCGGGTCGGGCCGGGTCGTCGGTGACGCCGTTTTCGAGGGGCGAAGACGAGGCGCTCGTTTGGGGTGAACAACGTTTGAAAAAATGCCGGCAATCTTCGTGAGAGAAACAGGCCGACGGGACCTCCCCCTCGGAATCAGCCTGCAGATGGGCACCGTGGCCATCAGCGAACCCGCGGCCCAGCGCGACCAGCGTCCCTCGACGACAGGGCATCAACAATTAATCCCCCATCCCGGGTTTTCCCCGTCTATTTGTCTCCCCTTCCCGGCGCGGCCCTGGAGGTCGGCGCGCGTGGCGCGTGCGCTCCGGGGCCGCCGGCGACGCGATGGAGGCCAAGGTCGGGGGTTCGCTGCCCGCCACCCGCATCTCGCTGCACTGCACTTGAGGTCGGCGGCAGCGTCGCGCCGGGGTGCTGGCCACCCCGCCCCGCCCCGCGCGAGGCTAGCGAGACTTGCGAGGCGCCACGGACGTCATTACGCCGGAGATATGTGAGCCATCCGGACCGGAATGCCACGCTGTGGACGGCCAGGGCAGGGCGCGGCGGGGCGGGGCGCCTGACCTTCAACTTGACATGAATGGACAGGACCCGACGTCCGGCCCCGCCTGCTGCAGAAAAAGCCTCGGAATGGTCGGAGAAAGCAGGAAAGCGGAAAAGCGTCCGCGATGGAATGCCGGGTCGGGGGTCGGCCCGAGGGGGTAAACACTTCACGAAATCGTGTACAGACTACTCCGTATTACGCTGTATTACGGGTGTATTACACGTGTATTACGGCCCTAAAATGCCAAAATTTGGCACATTTGACCCAAAAATGGTATTACGATCACGTGTATTACGCGTAATACACGGTTTTTGTGTACAGGGTATTACGCGAGTGGTTCCCCCCTCGGGTCGGCCGGCCGGGTTGACGAACCCGCCAGGCCGCCACCGACGCGTGGCAGACAACGCCCCGCGTCGTCCGAAGCACCCCCAGCCTCGTCAACGCGCACCTGCACTGCTTTGTCTGGTCGGGGTTCCGATCGCGGCCGGACCTCCCCCCCCCCAAGATGTATTTTTAAATCGTCGCTGCGGAAGGGGCGGCCTGGGGAAAGGGGGAGGCCGGTCGAGCCCTCCGGTCGAAACGCCGCGGACTGTGTATCGCCGCCGCGCCCGAAATGGAACCCCCCCCCCTCCCACGCCCTCCCGGCCACAATCTCGTCTGAAAAGCAGATTTCATTGCCGACAACCAAAGAACGCGGCGGCGCGGCGGGGCAACGAGCTAATTGGCCAATTCCAGAGCGACGAGGCCCGACACGGGAAGGCGCAGGAACTACCTCAAAAAATGAGAACCGTTAAGGACCTTGAGGGACGCGTTTGACCGCAGCCTGATTAGACGCAGTGGCCGCCCTCAACAGCTTTACGTCAGCTGCAACATTTTGACAACGGCCGCAACGCACGCAACACGCGCCACGATTCAATGCGCGAGGGCCACATCATTAATGAAGCATCCCGGTTCGAATGGGCATTATCAGGGCCACCCCGCCCCATCGGGCCCGCCCCGCCCCGCCCCGCCCCGCCCCGCCCCGCCCCGCCCCGCCCCGCCCGCACGCGCCGCCGCTCGACACTCCGGCACTGTTGGCACAGCCAGGCGGGCAGGCCGGGCACAGCGCTGCCGTTAACGCCTCGCCGTAAACCGGCATCCGACACGGATGCGGTCGACTCTGTGTGCGTGTGTGTGTGTGCGTGTGTGTGTTCGTGTGCATGTGTGTGCGTGTGCGTGCGTGTGCGGTTTCGTTGTCGCAGTAAAGCACGGAGGCGTGATTTTTACGGCGGTCAGGGCGCGAGCGTGGCGTGAGCGTGGCGCGAGCGTGCGGACGTGTGAAACGCCTCTCTGCGGAGCGTGGCGGGTTGCGCCCTCGTGGCGTTTGGCGTGGGGGGCGCTGGACCGCGACATGCCGGGCGTGCGCTAGGCCCCGCGGGGTGCAGGCGGACAAAGGAGTCCGGTGGGGCTGCCAGTCGCGCTCTCTCTCTCTCGCACTCATGGCTCGTGGCACGTTCTATAGGTGCGAGGGAGACAGAGCGACGAGCACGACTGGCGGAATCAGTCTGCCTGCATCGTGCCACGCCTCGCCGCACTCAACAGGCTCCGCGCATGGCGTAGCGTGGCGTGGCGTGCCCCGCTGCTCACTGCCCGGCCGGCCACGCAATTGTGCTCCTCCTCCCCTAATGGGACTCGGACTCGGTCGCCAGAGTCACGACGCCGAGATGCAGCGAGGACTCCACGAGCCGCCCCGCCCCTCGCCTCCCCTTTTCGGGGTTCATTTCGCCATCTCGGCCGTCATAAGCAAGATTTATTCGCGAGACGTTCGTCCAGTCACGGCGAAACAAAGAAGTGGAGGGCGAGGCGGCCAGGCGAATCTGTCCGAGCGACTGTCAGAGTGAGCGAGCGAAGATGATGACGAAGTGCGAAGAGCGAAGCACGCGAAGCACGCGCCAGTGGACTGACGCCGGGGGTCGATTTAGTCGCTGTCTCTCTCGCACCTCATCGAGACGCCCCACGAGTGCGAGAGGGACAGAGCGATGAAGAC